CCCTGTTTCTTTGCCTCCCTTTTTACGGTCTCCTGAAAAGCAAATAATGATGTTGTGCCCTTCTTCGTCGCAGTGCTCACGCCAAGTGGAAGAATCCATTTTTACCAGCATCTTGGCGGTGGTGCCAAGACATATGGCTTGGGACGACGGCTCCCCTGTTTCTTGGTCTCCTGAAAAGCAAACAATGTTGTTGTGCCCTTCTTTGTTGTAGTGCTCACGCCACGAGCAAGAATCCATCTTTACCAGCCTCTTGGCCAAGTCAACTGCAAATCGATGCTTCCTTTTTGTTTTCCCAATTTCCTTAATAAAATTCCATCCTGAAAAAAAAAATAAATTCTAATTAGAAATTCATAGTAAATTATTTTAACTAATTAATCAAATTATTTTTGTTAACACAATGATTGGTCACTTCTCCCTCCTTTTTTCACAAACCAAATAAGTAATTAAGAAAAATACGGAAATTATTAGGGTGCGTACTTTCAGCTAGATGCAGCCAAAGATCATCGAACTTGGGTAGACCTGCATTAAGCAAAATTTTGCAATTTCAATTATAGTTGCAACTCACTTGACTAGAAGCATAAATGCTCGAAATTGATACATACGTATATTCTTTATCATTGTTAGACAGCGTATGCTACTCTTGCTGCTCTGACTTGGTACATCCTGTTCAATTTCATCTCTATAGAATAAGTTGTCTGGAATATCTGAAAACAAAAACGCCAAAACGCCAAATCGAGTCAGTGGTACTAGAATTAATGTGTTTTTTTTGCCAGTATGATTGTAGTTTGCAATGAACTTACATCTATATATAATCTCCAATCCATACATTATGGAAGAAGAACTTTTGAAAGCAGTCGGCATGCTAGCGAGAATGTGAAGACATGTCTTCCCATGATATTTCTCTGTCGCCAGCTCTGGATATTTGTCTAGTAACCAGATAGCTGTCTCTGCATTTAATAGACAATTCAAATGTTAAAGAAAAAATGTGTTCTGTAGTTGAAATTGCCTGAACTATTAAACTACAATCTCTTGCTCAATGGGGTCCCTTGGGTTTCAGGACTCAGACCCAGCTAGCTAATTGCAGTTCGGATTGCAAATCACCAATCTCTTTCCTAAGTCGGTGATTTAATTTAAAATTAAATCAAATGAGCAGTACGTACCGAATTTTTCATTCATGATAGCAATATGAAGAATGGAGGGGCCATCAGATTTTCTCGTGAAGTGATCATCTTTCAGATTTCCCTTTTGATGTTCCACCTCATTTACTAAGTACTCCACTGTTGCTTTATTGCCAAATGCCGCAGCCCTGTATAGCGCCGTCTCCCCTAAATTATTGCGGTCCATCAGCATCCTCATCGCTCGTCCTTCATGTGCAATCTCATCAACCAGGAATTTTACTGCCTTAAACTTGTTGCTCGCGACCGCCTCGTGGAGAAGGGTATTGCCATGACTGTTCTTCATCGTGAACACTTCACATTTTCTAGGCATTGCAACCATTTTCAAGAGATCTTCAAGCAGATCTTTGCTTCCCATGTATGCCGCAATGTGGAAAACAGTATCTCCGCAAGGAGTGAGGGGATCGAATAAAGCACAATGTTTGGTCTGATACAGTGTTTTAATCTTTTCCCGCTCATTTTCCAAGGCCTTTACATAAAGCTCCTTCATTTCCTTAACACGTTCTTCATCTATAACCAAAGCTACTTCTGTTGTCATCTCTCCTTTTCTTTTTTCAATCTGCTAAATTGATAAATAGTTTTTTCTTAAGCTGCTTTAAATTGATGTCGATGATTGATCCTGGTTTTATAGTCTGCAACAGCTTGAAAGAGTAGTGAAAAATAATAGCATCTCAACTTTGCTGAACTAATTAATAAAGTTAAAAGTTGAAAACAAGATTATGGTAAAGAAAAAGGGAGGAATAACAAAGTTACTAGTTCTGCTAATTGCTAGAGGAAAGAAATACTTCTGTCGCTAAATCTAAATCCAAGCCAATAAGAAAAAGACACGTATTTGATCCATAACGAAGTAATAAAATATAAGATGTCATATAAGATGCATCATACAAATAATTTGATCCATAACGAAGTAATTTTTTAAAATGAAAATGACCTTGTATTCAGAACCATAAAATAAAAACGTACCTACGTAGGACCCACTTGCAGAAGCTGATGAGAGAAATGCTGGAATCGGAAGAAAATAAGAAAATATCACCATGATGAAAAAGTAGGAATTAGAGGAAAATATTTACTACTACGATGATGATGATGATGAAAACATATCAAAATTTTTT